ATCCTAAGAGCACAGCCTTTGGTGGGGAGGGTACAGGTAGATCAAAGCTCATCCCTGTACCTACCTCCAACAGAATTCTGGAAGGAAATGCTGGGCTTCTTTCCTCTATAACAAGAGAAGTGACAGAGACAGTCTTCCTGCAGGACCCGGTGCAGGCTAAATTCTACACAAACTCTGCACTAATCCATGACATGGCTGCTTGGCTGGTCTGTGATCCAGATCTTTGACAAATAAGGACATTCAGATTGTACCTAAGCCCCAGCACGTCCCTCCATGGCATTGCTGTGGTCAGTGTGGTTGTCACATCTAAATTACATGATTGTAGACTCCTGCTCCATGTAGTTATAGGGACCAGACAATCTATAGCCCCTCTCTGACGTGGGGCAAGTACAAGGAGCAGAAGCTCCCCCATCACCAGAGGTGAAATAGGTGTTTTACCTGACCTGGAAAACTTAGCGTACACAGCAATACTGCCTGCATATGAGTCACCTGGGGAGCTTTTTGTTTTTATAATGTTCATTTATTCTTATAAAATTAAGAGAGAGGGAGAGGGAGAGGGAGAATCTTCCATCTGCTGGTTTACTCCCCAGAGGCCTACCATTGCCAACGCTGGGCCAGTTCAAAGCCAGGAGTCCAGAACCTCATCCAGGTCTCCCACGTGGGTGGCAGGGCCTCGAGCATCTGCTACCTCCTGGGATGCATTATTGAGCTGGGACTAGAACCAGCGCGCTGATGTGGGATGCAGGTGTCTCAAGTGGCTCCTTAAGCTACTGTGCTCCAGTGCCTTCCCCCTGAGGAGCTTTTGAATAACCCAGGCCACACTCCACGTAGAGAACTGAACCAAAATCCTTTATGGTAGGAACCTTGTATCAGTGCAACAGTTTGTCAAAAAGTCTATAGAAAATAGAATTAAAACCTAGGTTTATCTTGGTGCAAAAGATGTGACATCCATGTATACAAGGAGTCTTAAAAAGGTCATGGAAAATAGATATTTTGAAAAACCTGCATGATTTCAAACATGGTATGAGTCAAAAACTATACACAGGATAACACAATGGATAGCCCACTCAACTATGTTTAGAGTGTATATATCATTTTACACATCCTTGTCCATAGAAACTATGATTGAATTTAGAATTAAGGAATTATGGTGTTCATTATTAGCCAGAGAAGTTTTTTTTAGGTGTTAGAAGAAATTTTTTATAGAAATATAATATACATAAAGGCATGCATATCATAAGTATACATTCTGACTTCTTAAAAAGTACACATCATTGTAAGAAGCCCCCAAGACAAGAAGCCATATATAAGAGTGGCTGTTTTGGCTGGCACCATGGCTCATTAGGCTAATCCTCTGCCTGTGGCGCCGGCACCCTGGGTCCTAGTCCTGGCCAGGGTGCTGGATTCTGTCCCAGTTGCCCCTCTTCCAGTCCAGCTCTCTGCTGTGGCCTGGGAGTGTAGTGGAGGATGGCCCAAGTGCTTGGGCCCTGCACCTGCATGGGAGACCAGGAGAAGCACCTGGCTCCTGCCATCAGATCAGCGCGGTGCGCCAGCCGCAGTGGCCATTGCGGGGTGAACCAACAGAAAAGGAAGACCTTTCTCACTGTCTCTCTCTCTCTCTCTCACTGTCCACTCTGCCTGTCAAAAAAAAAAAAAAAAAAAGAGTGGCTGCTTTGCCTAGTGGCTAAGGTGCTCACATCTAATATCAGAGTGTCTGGGTTGAAATCCCAGTTCCAGTTCCAGTTCTAGAATCCAGCTTCCTGCTAATGCAGACCTTGGGAGGCAGTGGTTGATGGCTCAAATAATTGGGTCCCTGCGACTCACATGGAAGACCTGGATTGAGCGCTCCCTCTCCCCAACTTTCTGGCTTCAATCCTCCACTGTTGGAATTTGGGGAGTGAACCAGCTGATAAGAACTCTCTCTTTTCCTTGGAAATCAATAAACCAATAAGTAATAAAATAACATAGTCTTATTAAAAGAGAAAGAAACCAGACATTATCATCACCACAAAGACACCCCTTATCTCCCTTCTAGTTACTACCAGCCCCCAAGTATAAGCACTGTTGACTTCTGCCAGCCAAGATGAGTGTTCCCAGCTTCTGTGCTTTATCAACGTGTAATCAGAGAGAGTGTACTTTATTGTGTTCTAGCTTCTTTCCCATACATTGTCATCTTTATTTTTGCATGTAGTTATATTTTTAGCCAGAGATTTTAGTTCTTAAAATCTAGTTCAACAAACATTTTTTCAACCAGGAAGTGTGCTCAGGGCTGAACACACAAAAACAAATAAGGGTAAGTCCTTGCTGTAAGAAACATTCGCTCTAGTAATCTGGTAAGGATCAGAATTTAATGTCAAGTGAATTCTTCTTTGTCCAACAAATATTTATTCAGTTTCTACCATGGGAGAGTCATTATTACAGGTGCTAGGGATACGTAATGAACAAAAAGGCAGACTTTTGAGTGCAAATCCTCTTTTATTTCCATGACATGCATGCCCAAGAATATCCGATTCTCACTTTGGCACTTGATTTAACATAAAAAGAACTAGTAATGGTAGCTATTTCTTCTGGCAACTTGGCTTATATGATTACAAAGCCATTGGTCTAACCGTGGGGCAGTTTGCAAACCAGTGATCATGGGAGTCATTCTGAGCCCTCTGTCTGCTTTATGTCAGTCTCTTCATGCTTGATGCTGTCTATAACAGAATGAAATGAAAGTCTAGAGGCTAAACGAACATTTGGATGTACTTTATCATGGAGTAAGGCTGTTTTTCAGAACCATGAAGTGAGAAGAGTCAATTTCCAAGGATGTAATAGAAATCACAAAACCTTTAAATATGTTTGAATAACTGTGGAATCCTGATAAATAGTACTATGCCTTCATGTTGGCTTTTCAGAGCCTAGTGAACTACTTGCATATAAAGCCATGATGTTGGGGTGAGGAAAGAGTAGAAGGGAATTCAACACCATTCCAGGATAGATAGTTTACTTAGAAATACAAGAGATCATCTCATTTTTTGTTGTTGTTGTTTGCTTGTTTTTTCCCTGTTCTTATAGAAAATCTCAAGCATATATGAAAGTAAATAATAAAATTCACTCTCATATATATTTCTTTTTTTAAAAAAAGGATTTATTTATTTGAAAATCAGAGTTACACAGAGAGAGGAGAGGCAGAGAGAGAGAAAGCAAGAGAGAGGTCTTCCATCCACTGGTTCACTCCCCAGTTGGCCACAATGGCAAGAGCTGCGCTGATCCGAAGCCAGGATCGAGGAGCCTCCTCTGGGTCTCCCATGCTGGTGCCGGCCCCAATATATTTCTCTTCTAACTCTAAAAATTGTCCACCCATGCCCAATTCATCTGTATCCATTTGTTATACACCTCCCCTGGTTATTCTGAAGCAATCCCAGATGTCAGATAAATGATTCATAAGTAATGCAAGTGAGACCTCCTAGTTTTAAAGTCACTAAGTGACTTAGAAGCAATTACTTTTAATCCCTAAACTTGAAAAGCAAAAGTCACAGATTTAATAAAAATGATCATTTAATAAGTTATTATTGCTATATACTACTTTATTATATATATATATATATATTATATTATTTGGCCTCTTTCTGACAACTGGCAAGTTATCCAAGGACTTCAACAGGGTGTGGGGATAGCTTATTGATGTTCTTTATCATCAGTAATTTCTTTTCCCTTTTTAAAGATTATTTGAGAAGTAGATTTACAGTGAGAGGGAGAGACAGAGAGAAAGGTCTTCCTTCCATGGGTTCACTCCCCAAATGGCCACAACGGTCGGAGCTGTGCCGACTCAAAGCCAGGAGCCAGGTGCTTCCTCCTGGTCTCCCACATCGGTGCAGGGGCCCAAGCACTTGGGCCATCTTCCACTGCTTTCCCAGGCCACAGCAGAGAGCTGGATAAGAAGAGGAGCAACCGGGACTAGAACCCGGCGCCCATATGGGATGCTGGTGCTTCAGGCCAGAGCGTTAACCCACTGTACCACAGCGCTGGCCCCTTTATCATCAGTCATTTCAAAACCAAATCCCTATAGATTCTAAAATTTCAAATAAATTTGCCCAAGTGCAAGTGTTTTTTTCAACCCATTTAGTAATGAAATGGGTCTAAGGCACTTCCTAAACCTCATTATTTCTCATCTTTAGTCTGTCCTATTTTCTTTTTTAAAAAAAAAAAGATTTATTTATTTATTTGAAAGTCAGAGTTACACAGAGAGAAGAGAGGCAGAGAGAGAGAGAGGTCTTCCATCCGATGGTTCACTCCCCAAATGGCCGCATTGGCTGGAGCTTTGCTGATCCGAAGCCAGGAGCCAGGAGCTTTTTCCAGGTCTCCCATGCAGGTGCAGGGGCCCAAGGACTTTCCCGGGCCATAGCAGAGAGCTGGACAGGAAGCGGAGCAGCTGGGTCTTGAACCGGCGCCCATATGGGATGCCGGTGCTTCAGGCAGGGGCGTTAACCCACTGCACCACTGCACCACAGCACCAGCCCCCAATTCTTTCCTATTTTCAAAGAAGGTAGTTGACGTTCACTGAGACAGTGTCAATGGCTTGTCTGCCTTGAGCTATTTCACCGCAGTTAGGCATGGAGCTAAGCTTTTCTAGGTTTCCCAGGTGGAAAGCCCCAAAGCAGCAGGCAGAATGTTCCAGTAGAAGCAAAAAAGATTGCCAGTGTCTTTGTCATGAAAATGTGCAAAGTGTTGATCTGACCCTTAAACTTGCTCTGGTCCTACCTCAAAAGGTTGCCCAGGGCATGGGACAGGCATCGTGGTGAGGAGTGGGGCACAAAGCCGCCATCCCTAGGTACATGTCTGGTGAGGAGATAATTAGGAGTTAAAAAAAAAAAAAAGCTGCAAAGGTTATCTGCACAAATAACACTGTAGAAGACTTTCCTGTATACAACTCCTACATGTTTCTTTGGGTGATAAAAGCAGCATAGATTGACAGTCTGTCAGTTTAACCGTTTTCATTGTGTACTTTTTCTGGGCAGGTTATTCACATCGAATTCCTTTGATGTGATCAGTGATGATGCTTTTATTGGTCTTCCCCATCTAGAGTATTTGTAAGTAGAAAGACTTTTTCACATGTTGATTCAGGACAAAGCGTGCCCAAGTTCCTACAGCTGTCTGACAACAAAATATCATAACCTATTGCAGATTCATAGAAAACAACAACATCAAGTCCATCTCAAGACATACTTTCCGGGGACTGAAGTCTTTAATTCACCTGTAAGTATGAATGCTACTATTACTTTTTAAAGTCACTAATGGACAATGCAGTCTGATCACCTGTGATTAAAGCACCCAGTTTATGTGATGGGTTCCCATGAAAATTTAACAAATTCAAATGACTTTTCTCCATGCACTTGTGCCATTTCTGTCATTCTCAATATTGATTACCATTAATATTTTTAACCTAATCCATAATTAGAAAGGCATTCTAATGCAGGGAAATCGTGTGACCAAAATAATTTTTTAGTATATACATCATTCCTTCATGGGTAATTATAGCTCAAATATACTTCGATGCATTAGTTAGCCACTTTCCTTCTTCTATATAAGCCCTGGCTTTATATACATTTAAACATAATATGGCCACAGGTAGCATCTGCACAGTACCTTAACAACTTGCTTGTAAGTGAAATATTCAATTATTCAACAGGTAATTACAACTACAGCAATTGTTCTTAACAGGTGACAAGTTTGTATCCCAGGGAGCATTAGGCCCTATATGGAGCTAGGTTTGGTTTTCATAACTGGGACATGTAACTGACATGTAACCAATGGGTAGAGGGCAGGAATCCTCCTAAACATACTGTAATGCCCAGGATGGCTCCCCACAGCCTAGATTTACCCAACCTAAACTGGAACTGTGGTGAGGTTCAGAAATCCTAACAACAGGAAAAAGACTACCGGTTTTTTCTAGCCTTCCTCATCCACTACATACACACAAGCACACACACACACTCACAAACACACAAAAATACAGTGTATTTTTAAGGAAACTAAAAGAGCATGGGAAGAAAAGGTACCAACATTGATGAAGGGCCTACTATTACGTTGATTATGGTGCTTTACATTAATTTTCATTTAATCCTCTCAATAATCCTGCCAAAGCAGCGCAATAATCCCCATGTCAGAAATGAGAGTCTTGGAGGAGACAGATGATGAGTCAGCTGGTTAGTTGTGGAATTATGAGAACTTTAGCTCAGTAGCTGAATTGCATTGGCTTTCTACACATTCAATGATTATTTCTTAAGGGCCTATTATGTGTCTCATTAGTGCTGGGTGAAGGCATAAGAGATCTAAATGTCATAGTCATTCTATCAGCTTGAACTGGTACACACAAGCACCTCATTCCAAGCCCTAGGTCCTAGGCTATGGCAGAGAACAAACAGCCAAAAATACCTGCCCTTTGAGCCTACTTTCTAGTGTGTCTGTGTGGTCATCATATTGCTCACCAGACCCTAGTAGTCTCTCCTGCTGGTTGGTTTGCAGCAAAGGTGGGGAGGGGGTGGTCTAAGGGCCAAATTTATTTTATAAAATCATATTTTTCAAGGCCTCTTGTATAGTCATTATAATAAAAACCATTTGCAATGCTGCTCTTCCCTATCAACAATATAAGACAATGCAAAGATGATTATGTACAGAATGAATGTTATACAACTCTATCACACAACCCAACAGTCCTGAATTCCATTTTTCCAACAAAATTAAATATGATAAATAAATATATAGGTGAAATGGAAGTTGATGACCTCAACTTGAGAGCCACTCAATTCGTAGGTGCTCAGCATCAGGACGGGCTGGAGTCAGAATAAGACTGAGGTGTCCTCTCTAAGAACCTGAACTATAAGACTTGTGGTGCACAATTCAGGCAAGTGCATCTCTTCTCCAGCTTAGAGAGCTGGGGCATCACTCAGCCTCCTGCACAGAACAGGAAAACCGGTTCCTCACAAGGAAGGGAAGGAGGGAAGGTGGGGAGAAGAACAGGGAAGGGAGAAAGAAAAAAGTTTATAAACACCTTGGTGAAGAACACTCACTTAGTTTGATCAGAGCCTAGTAGGGCCATCAAATGAAATGGGAATTTAAATCTGAGTCCTAACAAAGCCCCTTCTTTAGCAGTATGGAAGAGTATGAGTGGTATAAGACCAGTAAATGGAGACAGCAGGTACTTAATACCTAGAGGTCTGCAAGCTCGAGAAAATACCCAGGGAAGCCTTCCAAGAGAGAAGCATTAGTGTGAAGGATCAGACGGTGAAAGGGAAGTCCTAGCTCTCTGAGCTGGTGCTGAAAGTGGTAAGGAGGTTAACAGAGAAAGACAGAGGGTTAAGGTTGACTGAATGAATACAACCCGTTGGTCCCTGCATCCTTATCTCACAGTTATTAGGTTGACTTGTGTGGCGGTGCTACTATTACACTGCTTTTGCTCTACAGAAAAGGCAATGTCATGTGGTGTGTGGTTCCTCTTAGCTAGTTTCTAGCATGTGATACGTACTTTACGAGGAGTATGGCCCACAAAGGAGAGTTAGATACTCATTCATGTATGAGGAGCTAGACGAGTGTGACCTCACTGAGAGCCTTGGTGCCCCAGGTACGGTCTCCTTCCTAATCATGCAAAGGCAGGAAGAAACTTCAAGGTAAATGCCCTTTCTTCCCTTCCTTCTTCTTCTTCCTGTCAAGCAGAGAAGATGGGGTAGGGAGGATTTGAAACCCAACATCCCTCAGCCCACTCAGTTCATCAAATTCATTGTCCATTATTTATGGCTTATCCATAAGTCTGTAATTTGAGTCATCGTTTTATAAGACTGTAGGCTTCAAAGAGCACTTTTCCCCACTTCAGATCAGTTCTTCCTAAAGGCAAACATCCAAGCTGGGGGGAGTCATCCCCTGTCCCCCTAACCTGCCTATACTGCAGGAAGCGTTTACAAAGACTTCTCACATTCCTGACCTCCTTCTAGGCTCCTGGTGACCTTATGAAGGAGACAGAGCAGCCTCCCCAAGGAGAACATAGAGGTACACTCTGAGTTTAAGCTGCTCCCAGTCGGTGAGCGTTAGAGCCAGAAACTGCCCCAGGTCTTTGACGAGACCTCCACTGCTGACTCTGCCCTGTTGGAGAAGGACCAGAAAGCTTTTGTGGAGCTGACTGAATCCTCCCATGAAATGTGATTTCAGGATCCAGTATGACTTGACAAGAAAGAGAAGATCCTGGAGACAAGAGCCCTACCCTTGCGCTTAGTCTCCAAAAGCAGACAGTCCGGATTATGCTTCTCCTTTTAGATCTGGCTGGTGCTCGCTCTGGCCTAATGTGAAATCTGCTGCAGGAGCCTCCCTGAGCATTTGCATAAGTTCAGCTTGTTCCCAACGAAACAGTGACATTTTCTCACCCCTCTCCCAGCCATTTTGGCAGACTGATCTCCTAAAGAGGTATTTGCAGACAACTTGAAAGTTACTCTCCATACTTATCCATCAGACAAGATCCCTCTTCTGTGCAAATTAGCCTTCAGGAAACAGAGATGGGTGGGGGGAGAGGAGGGAGGGAGAGAGGAAAGGAGGGAGAGGGAAAAAGAAGGAGAGGGAGAGAGACTGTTAGTTCCCTACACAGCCTGTCAAATCCTGGGTCTCTCTCTCAGTTTCTATATGATAGTCTGTCCTACACTTATTTAATATTTGATTAGTTTGCATATTTCAGCAAGATTTGAATTTTCTGATAAACACATGTTAATTTTTAATCAGAAAAAAAGAATGAAAACTAGTTTGTGATCAATGATAAAATCTCTAGCCATTTTGTATTAATTTCTGTTAATACCCAAGAGCTTTTGAGTAGCACCCTTAGGTGCTACACGAGTAGCATTGTGGCTAAAGCCCAGGGGAGCCAGGACTGTGTGCATACACGCATGTGTAAACATATTTGGGGAAGACTGTCTTCAACCTACGTGTCTTGTGGAGTTTCTTCTGCTTGAGCAGCATTTTGGGGACACAAAGGACAGATGTGGCAGCCCCCAAACTCAGGATGCCTGCATCCCCCCAATCGGGCACCATGTTTTCATTTCAGCCTCCCCTTGACATGTCTGTAGAGAAGTAGTGTGACATGGTAGCCAAGAAAGTGCTCTCTGCCACTGGCTGCCTGGGTCAGAGCCCGACTTTGCCCCTTATTTAAGTTACGGGGCCTTGGGCAGACCATTCAGACTCACCGTGCATCATATCGCTTATATGTGAATTGGGAAAGATGATCGTAATCTCTGAAAGTGGGACTGGAAGATAACAAGGTACTAAGGAGTATCTATCTCCTGTTTTCAGATTGAATGAGTTAAGAACTAAGAAGTGCTTAGAACAGAGCCTGGTAGGTAGGAAGCGCCATTGTGTAGGAATAAACCCAGACCCACTGCCTAACCTTTCCTAGTGCTGGATCCAGATTCCAGACGCTGCAGTGTGCTTATCCCCTTTAAACATTTCATACGACATTAAAATAACTGTGCTTGGAGCACCGCAGAGCCAGTGAGACACAAACCCAAGCTGAGAATCTGCATTGCAGGGGGGCTGGGAGCACCCCAGATGGCTGTGGGCGTTGCTTTCTTAGCAGCAGAGCCCTGTGGCACTGAAACAAACGTGCTGTCTGAGCTGAGCTGGTCTGCTCTAGAGACTTTCCGGTGGGGCCCAGAGTCAGAATCAGAGATTTCCTCGGTAAACCACAAGAACCCCGAAGTGGAGAGAGCGATGGGCATTTCCGTTGGGGAGGAATGGCTGTCTGCTCTCAGAAGGCCTGAGCCTACTCAGCCAGCTGCAGGGTAGCTCGATGCGCCACTGGGCAAAACCCTGGGTGTTTAAGGACGTGTCCTGGGCAGATCTGAATCAGGACCTAGGGAATGGTGCTCAGGCTGCACTGGTAATTCACGGGGATCTGTGCTGTCTCCCCAACACAGTGTCGTGGCACAGGGATCTTAGAGAAGTAGCCTCTGCTCTTTTCTTTCTCTAGATCGGTGCCCCTTCTCTCATCCACTCCAGATCGCCTCATTCATTCATTCAAAGTATCTATTGAGGCTCACTTTGTGACAGGCACTGTGGATACTGTGGAAAGAAAACCATCCTTCCAGTTATCACTGAAGACTCACCCTAGAAAACTTAACAACGATGAAACATTTCCTCAAAACTCTGATGTCCTTGTGCTCACCCCTCTCTCAGTCAACTCCAGCCCACCCCATCAGATCTTCCACTGCGTTCTTTAACCCTGAGAAAAACATGTCGTCAAATGCATTGACTCTTAACTATTGGCCCAAAGTCCTCCATTCCCTCCTGCCATCTGATGAGTAAAGATGAAACCGTTAGCCTCTCACAGTGAAAATTATAAAGATGTGACTTAATGCAAGCATAGAACTTGGAGATCATTCCAACCAAGTGATCCTTTGCTTTACAGAAAGGGGAAAAGCCCACAGCTCAAACTGACATCCCCTTCCTAGACCGTGTCGTTCACTCTACTCTGTAGCTGTTATGAGGGCACTAAAGCAAGTCTGGCAGATGACGGATCAGCTGGGGTCAGGGCTGGAGGCTGGTTTCCTTAAATCAAGCCACATAGAAGCCTTTGTCCTGACAACTCTGGTGGTCTGCTCTGTCTCCTTCCCTCTTGCTCCATATTATTCTTCCTCTTATTCTTAGGAATTAGGAATCCTCATACTGAGTATTAAAATCCAGCTCCAGTGTTTCCCTCGGACCCTGGCCAGAGCAACCCAGCTAGTAGAGCTTGAGGAAGAGGACGATGTCCCCACAGCAGTTGGAGTTCCTCTCTCTGAGGCCTCCACACTTGAGAGCAGAGAAGACCAGAGACCTTGGGGACCAAGACCAGGGGCACGGCTCTGCAGAATCTCTTCCTCTCAGTGGGCCCTGTACGAGTGCCTGGAAGCTCAATCTGAACAATGGTTTCCTCTCCCAGGGTCATTACTATTTTCCTTCTTTCCAAGAAAATAATTTGTACATTTTTTAAACTTTCCTGCAGAAACTATTATGATTACGTGTGTGTGTGTGTGTGTGTGTGTGTGTGTTAGTAAAAGATGAGACATTCAGGGGTAGATGTCTGCCATGGCAGTTAGGACACTGGTCTACGTGCCCTTGACCCATTTAAGAGTGCCTGGTTTTGATTCCTAGATCTGCCACTTGCCTCCTGCTTCCTGATAATAGAGATCCCAAGAGGCAATGGTGATGGGTCAAGTGATTGGATCTCTGCAAACCATGTGGGAAACCTAGATTGAGTTCCTGGCTGCTGGTTTCGGCCTGGTGCAGCCCTGGGCAGCTGTTGGAATTTAGGGATTGAACTGGTGGATAGGAGCACTCTGCCTCTCAAATTAATAAATAAAATGTTTTAATAGGATGGAACATTTAAGGATAGCATAAAATCCTCTCTATTAGGAAAGGCAGAGAAAAAGATGGCCTTGGGCTCCTAAATTGAGCATTTGATTTTAAATTGAACATTTAATTTTAAATTGAGTTTAGGTATTAAATATCACTGTCTTTGACAACAAAGAAAAAGTTCAGTTTTGTGGTCTTGACACACATAGGCTTAAACAGTTCAGTTGCTGGGAGATTTCTCCAGAAACCATTGCAAGGGTTTGCACATAAAAATACTTGTAGCTATATGTATCAGTTCTCACAACAAATGAAATTCATATTCTTTACTGAGGTTTGCAGATGTCAAAGCAGCAACTGACAAAGATTGATACAGTTGGTTAAAGGCACACTCCTGAGATTGGTTAAAGGCACACTCCTGAGAGCAATGAAGTTCAAATTTAATAAGTGGTCTTGAGATGGAGCCAGCACCAAACCTCTATACTGCAGGAAGTAACACAGGAAACAAGTGCTATGACCAGTCTGACAAAAGACATAGCACACATTGCAACTGGAGCTTCCAGTGAGAGAAGGGAATAAAATATTAAGTCATTATTCTCTAAAGCTGCAAATGAGACAACAGGAAGAAAGAAACGAGGAAAATCTAATCCACATGGTTTTGCTTTCTGGTGCAGGGCTGGAATATGGAAAACCCAATATTGCTAACATCAACCCTAAAATAACCCTAACCTTAACCCATAAAGTGCTGTCTCTACATCTTGAGCTGTTTGAACAACCTAATAGGCTATCAAACGGGCATTTGGTTCTCTTTGCCCTTCCTGTTTGAAGGGCAAACACTGAGCAGCCTTCAGAGATGGTCCCAAGACTTGTCCCTTTGTCTTCCTGGTAACCCTGGCCCAGGATCCTCTGTCAGATGCCCAGGATGATTTTGGCAACCTCACGTTCTCTCACAGCTGGCTCTCGGCTGGCCCCAGAGGGCGAGGGCCTAAAACCAAGTGGAAATTTGTAGGAAACAAGACAGCTCCCTCTGCAGGAGGTCTCATGGGGGCCGCCTGCACGATCTGAGCTCTCAGCTGCCTGAGTCTGACCCCACAGTTGTTCCCACTCCCACCGTGGAGCTTTGGGAACGGATGAACGCATCCAAGTGATTCATAGAGAGTGACTGAGTCCTCATGGGGCAGAAATACATATGTAGTAGGCAACAGGGCCCTTGTCTTCTGATTGTGAGAAACCTGCTTAATGATTAGGAATTCTCACCATCCTGGGCAGGCTGTTAGCCTGGTAGTTAAGACACCAGTTAAGATGGGGCATGAAACATCAGAGTACCTGTTTTTGATACAGGGCTTTGGCTCCTGATTCCAGCTTCCTGCTAATGCAGACCCTGCGAGACAGTGGTCTTGTGGAGTTTAGCTCACATAGTTGAGTTCCTGTCACTCCATATGAGAGATCTAAATGGAGTTTCCTGGCTTCCAGCTTTGGCCTGGCCAGGCTTTGCTATTGTGGGCCCTGGGGGAAGGAACCAGCAGATGAGAGCATTTCTCTCTCTCTCTCTATATATATATCTATATCTATAGATCTACCTATATATCTATATCTCTATATAGATCTATATCTCTATATCTATATAGATATAGATATCTATAGATCTATATCTCTATATATCTATAGATCTATAGATATAGATCTCTCTCTCTCTCTCTCTCTCTCTCTATATATATATATATATATATATAACCAAGCTCTAACCTCAATCAACAGTTTTTATATCTCTTGCTAGAGCTTTCTTTATGCATCTACAGACATACATCCCCCCTCCTCTGGGGAGATTACAGAATCCATACTAACCTCCACATTTCTTTTCACTTAGGCATCACTTCAGGGTATAGCCTGTAGATTGACTTCATTTTTAAAAACCTCCTACAAAACATTCCACGGTCACTGTAAATGAGCATTTATCTACACAACCCTTTATTACTGGGCGTACGCTCTTTCCAATTCTTCTTGCTATGGGCAATGCTAGAGCAAATATCTTTCCCCACCTGTGTGATGCGCTGCCAATACGTCCAATTTCTCTTCACCTGGGGACTGGCACAAGCTCTTACCTGGCCTCATATTTTTCTTCTTACCTTTGAGGTTCTGCTTCTCCCTTCCTTCCACGTGTCCAGTGCATCCTTCCCCCTGCAGCCGTCAGCCTGCCCTAGAAGCTTGCTCTGAATCGGGTCCTGGTTACAGTTTTGTAGTCATCTCCAGGCCCGGTCAGCATTGCTTTCCTATGTCTAAGTCCCTCTGCCTGTTTTCTTTTCATCCAAGTGTCACTTGATGTCATTGGGGCTTCCTTAGGGAAGCTGCCTGAACACCACTTCTCTGGGTCCTGCTTCCTCTTTTCTCTGCCCCTTTTATGAGTCCAGGCAGCCTTCTTGTGCTTACTGTTCACTACACCCAGACATGGGACTCCATCCTGCCCCCTGTAGAAGCAGCCCACTGGGGGTCTGTATTTCACTGACTTTTTGAACGGGGCATCAAAGGGGTGACATTGGCTACAGCAAGTTCATCCACCATTTCTCCCTCTGGCACCCCCCATGCTTCCCTGCTTCCCCCACCCTCTGGTCTGGTCCCCAGAGTGATGCCCCCCTCACCCTGCCCCCATCACAGGAAGTCCTCAGGAAGCTTCTGCCTCATTCCACAGCCAGGCCAGCCTGCTTTTTCTCAGCCCCATCCTCTAGTTCTGGCGAATTAAAAGTCCTCCATCTTGTCATGCAAAAATACCATCTCTCTCTATTCCAAAAGAACATGTAAGTATCTTGCCTGCTGGTTCTGCAGTTGGCCTTGAGCTTGGGCAGGTAAGGCCTAGAGCTCTACTGCTTTGAGTGGAACTTCCAGATTCACCTATTCCTTGCACAGTAACACAAACATGGTTTCTCTTCCTGTGTAACCCTATGGGCAGTACTAATCAATAATTCACTGTTTCATCATTTCATAACCCTCTGTGATCCACCTTCCTCCAAACTTATACCCAATAGTCAGCTGCAGTTCTACTTAGAAGTTAGCCCAGGAAATTTTAACACACATTGTGCCAGAAAATACATTGAGACACATAACTTGGAAGTGACTCTGGACTGACCTCAGACATCAGAAAATCTTCGCAAACAGCAGCCAGTAAGATGAATTTTGGAGACATTCTCCTGAAGGGTCTTCTTTAGCAATGTTATTTCAATGCTGCTAGATGTGGACAGCCATAGCAGTTCATTTGTATGGTCAGTTTCTAAATGTTGTTTCTTGGACAATGTAAATGCAGGACTTCTTGTCTCTTCCTCCCCACCTCCTCCCACTTACTCTTTAAAAAAAAAAAAAGAAAATGAAAAAGATTTATTTAATTTGAAAGGCAGAGTGATAGAAAGGAGAGACAGCTCTTCCATTCGCTGGTTCCCTACCCAAATGGTAGCAATGGCCAGAGCTGGTCCAGGCAGAAGCCAGGAGCCCGGAAATCCATCTGGATCCTCTACCCCTCTTACTCCTTATTGAGAGTAGTTCAGATACCAGGCACCTACATGGGTCATTTTTGTTTTTCAATCATCTTGTGAGATAAGGCACTATTGTCTCCACTTAAACATGAAAAAATAGAGACTTGGAGAAGATGCATAACAAAGTCACACAGCCATGAATGTTGGAGTTGGAATTAGACTTAGTGCAGAAGGACTCCAGAGCCATGTCTTGGATCACAAAATGCTCTGTCACTGAGACTGGAACTTCCTGACTCAGTTTCTAGTTTACTGTCCAAGGTTCATTGAAAGAAAGTTTTCCCATCTCGTAGGAATTTCTAAGTTCAAGAAAAACAACATAGAACTCAGTCTTAAGTGTTTGCACTTAAAAATGCATATTTAATTAGAGGAAGTGGAAGACACAGGAGAATTTTAAGAGTGTTTTAAAGGAAAATTAAGAATTTTCAAAATCTTTGGAGACCAAGAGCATAGGCTTTTTTGTCTTAGTTCCTTTTGGTAGTGAAAAAAAAAAAAAAAAAAAAAAGATACCTCTAAGAAAACTATATAACCTGTGTGTGTGTGGTGCTGTGCCCTTTCCTGACCACAGGAGCACCAGATTTCATGGTTTCTGCCAACCGTACCCATCTCTCTTTCCTTGACACCATCAGGACTATTTCCTACTGGCTCAAGTTGATTAGGGTCATCCTAGTGATTCATGGAAGAACAACTAGAAGGAGAAAGGGAAACAATTTCTGTGACAATAGGCCAAGAATCCGAAGAAGGGGGAAGGAAATGATTAAACTGTTAGTGTGAGTAGCGTTTTCTGGAGTGGAATGAATGGGTTGCAAGGGAAGAAAACATAGAAAGAGAGGATGTGCACTTTGGAAAGAAGAAAGGATGTACTAGGGAAAGGAGAGTGCTATGGGTGCTACCCTTTGGAGGCTGTGTTGTCCCCTGGAGCAAATGAGGAATGGGAAGGGAGGAGGAAGGGCAGCCCAGGAATGAAGTAGGGGCACTGGGGAGGCCACTGGAGATGGACACGGTCAGCAGGTCAGTCATCATTTGTGAGACATCCCTTAGACTGTATATCTGAGAGTGTGGATCTCCTGTTCTGCATAGAAAGATCAATACCCAGGCATCCTCTTGTTGCTGATTTTGTCTTTGTTGTTTTTAACCAACATAAAATGTTACATAAATACTGAGAGTGTTGAAGAGGTCAGAAATTGAAAATACAACAGCAAGAATTGGAGTAGTATTTTAAAAAAGAACTACCATAAGTAATTTAATAGACTGGAACTGAGAGAGGGACTCACACCCAAGCTTTGTCATTAAATGCATGTATTGATTTTGTCACTATGGTTTATATCATTCTTTTGTCTTCCAGGAGCCTCGCAAACAACAATCTCCAGACACTCCCAAAAGACATTTTCAAAGGCCTGGATTCTTTAACAAATGTGTAAGGGGACCTAAGAAATCACTGATTAATTAATTTGCAGTAATTAACAAGGAAACCTGGTATTGATGGCTAGATTTTTTTTAATTGGCTTTAAAATGAAAATTGAATTTTTAAATTAACATTTTAAATTGGCCAAAATTTAAATTTATGTGGACTCACAGCTGAGTCTTCTATGGTGTTTACCATTGGAAATTCTGAATACGTTGTACTCAGGCATTCCTTTAACAAAGTATGTGTCTGTGCACGAGGGGCCATGATAAGGGACTCTGAGGGGGTGGGGGACCCAGACAGAAATTTCAAGCCCTCTTTCTTCTCATGAGGTCCAGGAAATGGGGCTACAGAGGAAAAACATGAAGGAGTCTGGGAAAGTGACCGAGTGAAATGAAAGGTTATACCCATGGGTTGGTTAGTCAGGAGAGAAATGGAGCAGGAAGTTGGGGGAGGGCGGAAAGTTTGCCTTTTCTCTCATTAGGCTGAACAACAACTTCTGGGCTTAATCCCCAGGAATTTGGCTTAAACCCCAGGAAGGGAATGAACTTAATTATTTTTGACCCTTTTTCAAACAAAAGAGCTTTCAAGCTTTGACTTTTAAGCCTCTGAGTGAAAGATCTTTGCAAGGAATTTGTATATTTTGCTGTAAGCAAAGCAAGTACTATATGCTGAACCCTCTCAAAAGCAATTTAGTTTCATTAAGTGCCTTCCAGAGCAGGAATAGGGTATTTAAATGTCATAAGGTAGAATACAGGAGCAAATGAAAGGATATATGGAAACGAAAGGATTTATTATTATTATTATTCAGGTACTATATATTCAAAACAACTTTTCTCCAATAACAGAAAAATCTGTCAAGCATTTTCTTCTAAGCCCAGTATTTAACTTCAGATCAAGAAGTTAATGAAAAACTTTCTTTGTTCCTTGCAGTATTCCCCTAGCCCCTCCTCCATGCCTATTGCCCCAATTCCTGAATGATGGTTTATTTCCTTGTGAGTGCCAGAATCAAGACACTTCCAAGAGAGACCCGGGGAGGCCACAGTTATATGATCTGCTTTACAATAGCCCAGAAGGGTGGGCGCTCATTATTCAGGGTCAGAGTACCCTTGGGAGATGAGGTCAGTTCTGGGAATGCTTTGGAACTTAGATGATGCTTCATGGCCATTTTGGGAGGGAGCTCCTTGGGAGCCCTTCAGCCCATTGCTAGGTCAGTGTGTACCTCCATACCATTAGGGAGGGAGGAAGGGAGGGAGAGAGAGAGAAACACTTGAAATAGACTCAGTCTGCCCAGGAAATCTCACAAGGGATTTGGCCTCTTGGGTCTACTCTGATGTGCCCAAATAAAGGATTATCATGGAAGTACAGGGATCCGTGACAATTTGCCTTTTCGTGGATTTCTTGGTTTTGTTGAACATATCCCCTTACAAGAACATTTTTAAATTATTTATGTGCTATGTAAAGAGTAGGCAGCACCTATCTTAGGAATTCTGTGTGACCAGAAAAGGAGATGGAATTCCTGAACATCAGCAATGCACATAAACAGAGAACTTGGTGAGTCGGGGTCATACGTGGAAATTTCAGCTAAGATCTATCATTATTACAGCCATGAGCTGTTGTATGTCTGCATTAGCTCTTCTGTGTCAAAGTCATTTCCTACTAAGATTGAGCTTGTAGACCACCTAGTAGGATTGGGATTAATTTTGTCTGTGAGGAAGAAAAAAAGCCAATAGATCATTCAACTTAATCAAATGCCGTATTATAATCACAGCATTTTATCCTATACACCTTTGCTATGTGCCACAAGCCACTTCAGTTCACTAAGCATTTGAAATATGCTTCTAGTGCAACTGGGGAACTGAATTCAAAATTTTCCTTAATTTTCTAAAAATTAAATTTAGAATTGAAAACTCTCCAATTCAACTACTGAAAAACTTTCAGGTATGTTTGGAACAACTTAGATGCGCAAACCTATGTTTTAACTCTAAATTTTGGGACATCCAAATATACATATTTCTGATGAGAATTTAGCATCTGAATTACTTTGTAATTATAAAATACATAGTGAATTCAAAGATTTAATATAAAAATGAATGTAAATGTCTTGATAATGTTCATATTAATTACATATCAAAATAACATGTTAAAGTGTTAGGTTAAATGAAACATATTAGAGATACTAGCAATTACAACAGTTTCTTTTTCCTTTGTTTAAAATGGCTATAGGAAAGTTTGAATTACATACAGGGTCCACAGGCCGTTGACAGCATAGTCCTAGATGGAGCTGCCTTTAACTCCAAGCAGTAGTAAGTTATGAAGGTCCATTGATTGGAATGTCTGTCCTTCCAGGGGGCATTGAGTTCTCGGAACTCAAAGTGAGTAATCAGAGAATTCAAGGGCGATTATGAGGCATGCGATAAAGGCAGGGAAGGTCATTCTACACATGCTGGTTGCTTAGGTCGAAATCATGCCTGTTCTGGGAGGGCCCTTGTACTGCAAAAGCAGCTGAAATTTGTCTTCCAGGGACCTGAGAGGGAATTCATTCAATTGTGACTGTAAACTGAAGTGGTTGGTAGAATGGCTCAGCCACACCAATGCCACTGTGGAAGACATCTACTGTGAAGGCCCCCCAGAATACAAGAAACGCAAAATCAATAGTCTCTCCTCCAAGGATTTTGATTGCATCATTACCGGTAAGAAGCTCAAAATCATTTTACTTCATAAAATCAAAATAAAGACTACAGTATTTTTTGCATTTGTAGGAACTGGTTTTATTTTTTTTTTTATATCTGAAAAACCAACTGAGCAATTTTATTTAAAAAAATTAGAAACAATTAACACTTTGTGTGTTTAAAAGCAATGTAAATTAGCATCTGACTATTTCTATAAAATCAATGTCTCTATGGATATGTGAGATCTGGCTAAGGAAAACATATTGCCTCACAGTTAGTCATCATCATTTCCTATTTTTGCAGAGTTTGCGAAGTCTCAAGACCTGCCTTATCAATCACTGTCCATAGATACCTTTTCTTATATGAATGACGAGTATGTTGTCATTGCTCAACCTTTTACGGGAAAATGCATTTTCCTTGAATGGGACCATGTAGAAAAGACCTTTCGGAATTATGACAACATTACAGGTATGCAAAGCCCAATAATATTTTGAGCAGCAAGTTAAACAGCTTTGGCCAAGAGCAGCAGAAAAAGATGAGTAGCATGAGGGAATGCTTGAAGCAGGCTCAAAGACATTTGAATTCCAAGTTTACCTTTTATGAAGTGATCGGTTGTTGTTCTTCAAGCCTCACTTCCTCACTCATAGATGAGAATCATACCTAACTCACAGGGTAGTTAGTGAGACACTGTGATCATGCATTCAAGGAACTTAGCTTAGGAGTTCGCATACCAAATAAACAGTAAGAGTTGGATTATTTTTCTCCAAAGAAAAATAATAATGACTCTGAGTTCTAATCTGGGTTCTGCCATAATCTACCTGGGCCAGCCACTCACACCCACTGGGTCCCCTTTTTTCTTTTCTTCTTTTTTAAAAATTGATTTATTTGAGAGGTACAGAGACAGAGAATAGAATCTTTCATTTGTTTGTTGACTCCCCAAATACACGCAATGGCCAGGGCTGGGCCTGGTCAAAGCCAGGAGCCAAAAACTCAATGTAGATCTCCCACATGGGTGGCAGGGATCCAGTTACTTAAGCTGACACCTCTCCTTCAGGCTCTGCATCAGCAGGAAGCTGGAGTCAGGAGCTGGAGCCAGCCATAAAGTCCAGGCTGTTCAGTTTGGGAGGCCCATGTCCTGACCAGCATCTTAACGACCACACCAAACACCCAAACCCCTTTTAAATACAAAATCAGGTTATTTTAGATCTACAACTCTCAAATTTTGTTCCAGCAACATTTCTTCTATAAAATTATTAATGCATGCATTATAACAATGGGTTCTGTGGTTTAATAAGTCTATGTGTCATCCTTCCCTCTTGGAGATTCATAATATATAAGGGATCATCAAAAAGCCCATAGAAAATGCATATTATAAATAAACTATGCTGAATCTCAAAAAGTTATTGAACCAAAATAAGCTTATCTTATCATTTCATTTTCCACAAAGTTTTTGAAGTACTCTAGTGTATACAAAAAGCTATGAGAAGCCTAATCCTCTGCCTTGCGGCGCCGGCACACCGGGTTCTAGTCCCGGTCGGGGCGCCGGATTCTGTCCTGGTTGCCCCTCTTCCAGGCTAGCTCTCTGCTGTGGCCAGGGAGTGCAGTGGAGGATGGCCCAAGTGCTTGGGCCCTGCACCCCATGGGAGACCAGGAGAAGCACCTGGCTCCTGCCATCGGATCAGCGTGGTGCGCTGGCCGCAGCGGCCATTGGAGGGTGAACCAACGGCAAAAGGAAGACCTTTCTCTCTGTCTCTCCTTTCTTTTTCCTGTTTTTCTCCTGTCAAAAAAAAAAAAAAAAAAAAAAAAAAGCTATGAGAAGTCCTGCAGTGAGAAAACCTATTTCCGCTACTTTTCACAATTAACTTGGCTATGAAATTAATTTATTTTATTTTTTAAGTTACTCTGCATTTTTAAATTCTTTTTTATTAATATAAAGAGAACAGATTTCATAGGTACATCTAAGATAGCCATACACCCCTCCCTTTGCTTGTATCTCCCACTATCCTCCTCCTTCCTTCCTTTTTTCTTCTTTAATTTTTGCAAAGACATGCTTTCAATCCACTCTATAATCTCAGGCTTAATTCACCACTAGCTATTATATTTAACAAGTAAAAGTAGGAAGATGACAGAGCCACAGAAGTATAAACAAGGGCTAAGAACTACAATCACTTTACAGGATGACCACGTCATTCCTACACATTTTTTTGCATTTTATGTTACCTACGACGACATATTGGAGAGAACGTATGATATTTGTCTTTTGGGGACTGGGCTATTTCACTAAGCATAATGGTTTCCAGTTGCATCCATTTTGTTGCAAACAACAGGATTTCATTCTTTTTTTGTGGCAGAGTAGTATTCCATAGTGTGTATATACCATATTTTCTTTATCCAGTCATCAGTTGATGGATATATGGGTTGATTCTATATCTCAGCTATTGTGAATTGAGCTGCAATAAACATGGGGGTACAGATAACTCTTTCATATGATGGTTTCATTTCATTTGGGTGATTCCCAGGAGTGAGATGGCTGGGTCAAATGGTATATCTATTTTCAGATTTCTGAGAAATCTCCATACTGTCTTCCATAATGGTTGTACTAGTTTACATTCTCACTATTTTGGTTGATAGCTATTCTAACTGGGGTGAGGTGGAATCTCATTGTGGTCTTTATTTGCATTTCTCTGATGGCTAGTGATCCTGAGGGAATCTAATTAAATACATGAAATGTAATCTAGTACATGAAAACTTCTAGTGAGGTTTTTTTTTTTTTTTTTTTTTTTTTTGGACAGGCATAGTGGATAGAGAGAGAGAGAGAGAGAGAAAGGTCTTCCTTTTTGCCATTGGTTCACCCTCCAATGGCCGCCACGGCCGGCACGCTGTGGCCGGCGCACCGCGCTGATCCAAAGCCAGGAGCCAGGTGCTTCTCCTGGTCTCCCATGGGGTGCAGGGCCCAAGCACCTGGGCCATCCTCCACTGCCTTCCCGGGCCACAGCAGAGAGCTGGCCTGGAAGAGGGGCAACCGGGACAGAATCCGGCGCCCCGACCGGGACTAAAACCCGGTGTACCGGCGCCGCTAGGCGGAGGATTAGCCTATTGAGCCGTGGCGCCGGCCTAGTGAGATCTCTTAAGTTTCTTGCTTCAATTTTCTGGAATTAAAAGATGCTTATTCTGGTGCAAAATTTTTGAAATCTATGCATAAATTTTTTTATAATATATATTTTCTGGGAACTATTTTATTAATATAAAGAGAACATATTTCACATGTTTCATAGATATAATTCCAAGAAGATAACCATACTTCCCACCCTTCCTCCCTCTACTTCAACAATTTTTAAAATTACATGTCATAAAGCAGACCAAACTCCTCCTGGATTGTTTCCATCAGCTTTAGCTTTAACGTCTTTAAATCTGATCCAAAGAGCACTCAAACTTCCCCATCAAAGGTCACCCCTTAGAAAAGACTTGGATGATCACAACTGGATTTTGCTGGTGCTCATCAGCCCCACTACTCAAAGGATCAAGACAGACCCAGGGCCTGCTTGAGACTGAGGTTGTCCAGAGGGTGGAGTCTCTTCCAAATTGAGACCTTTTTAGAACCCTCCTCCTTTCCCAAGGAAGAAGGGTGCACTCCCCTCCTCCTGGAGCCCTGTGGACTACAGCAGGGTTTTGTGCAGGCTACCCCAGGTTCTTCTTACTGTGTACAGTCATAGTTGCTTTGGATGAGTCCTTAGCACTTGCAGACTTTCTGAGGGCGCCTCAGAGCTCATGTCCCATAAGATCATGTCTTGATCCATTCCTGCTCTTGTTACAGAAGTATCTTAGACTGAGTAACTTATACAAAATGGAAATTCATTTCCCACCATTCTGGAGGCTGGGAAGTCTAAGATCCAGTCACTGGCACGATTGGTGTCTGGTGAGGGCTGTCGCTCCCCCTCTTCGTGGGGGAGCAACACTGAACCCTGCGCTGTTCTTTCTTCTGCTCGGCCCTCCCCGGGTTTGCTGCTGGTTCTTCCCGGGTTGGCTACTATCCCTTCCACCTCCGTGGAAGGGCAGTTCCCCCTGGCCGCATTCCCCACTTCCGCAGGGGAGCGGCACTCCGCCGGCCGGTTCTCTGGGGGGCTGCACGGGTGTTCCTTCAGCTAGATGTTCCCCATAGATGTTCCTGGTGCATGCCGTCTCTCTCCTCCTTTATAGTCCTCCTCCGCCAATCCCAACTCGGCTGAGTACGCTGCTCTCCAATCAGGAGCAAGTCCTACAGTTAATTGGTTGAACTGGAGGCAGCTGTGCGGAAGCTGTTTACTTCTCTCCCAGCGCCATATTGTGGGAGAGCAGATGCATAGAATAAGTCCTAATTCGAGTAACAGTCTAGTCCGGATTGCTCCCCACAGATCCCCCTTTCTTTTTATTTTTTAGCGTTGATACGCGCCTGTCTTCGGTGTCCCGCAGCACACACTCTGCTGTACTTGCTAGAGTTGCCACAGGCTCTTACAAGTCCTATCAATCAGGAAAACCGAATCCGGGTCCTCTCTTCGCCATGTTGTGAGGAGGTTTTTAGGCGCTGATGCGTGCCTGTGTTCGGTGCCCTGCAGCGCATGCTCTGCTCTGCCCGCAGGGGACTTACAAGACCTATCAGGCAAACCGAATCCAAGCCTTCTCATTGCCTTATTGTGGGGGAGACTTATTAGTGTTGGTTCGTGCCTATCTTCGGTGACCTGCAGCTCATACTCTGGTCGAGCTTTGCTGGCGCTTACCGCCTTAAATCAGGCAGACCGAATCCAAGCCTTCTAATTGGCATGTTGAGGGGAGGCCTTATTTTTCTCTATTTCTCTATCTCCGGGCATTTCTATTTCTCCCATTTTACTTCTGTCTGCCAACATTCCTATTTCTCTTTTACTTCTAAACTTCTGTTTCTCTTATCCCCGCAGCTTTCCGGCACCTCGCCCCGCCGGCGGGTTCCCGGCTCTGCACCGCTTCAGCCCGCGCGCCTCTCTCATCTGCGCAGCTTCCCGGCTTTGCGCAGCTCGGCTTTGCGCGCTCCGCGGTCTCCACGCTTAACCCTTTCGCGTCTGAACCACGGCCTACGCCAGCGTTCCCTATCTATTCACGCCCCGTGCTCTCTCTGCACGCGGCGGCTTCCGCGAGTAACACAGCGTAGCTTGCGTCTCCGCCACTAGGATTCAATCCAAGTTCCCCGGGCTAGCCTGGCGAATTCAACCCAGCGTACGTCTCCGCCCCACGGTTTGGCTTCCCGTCCTTTGCTCCCCGGGCTAACCAGACGGATCCCAACCTGGCTCACGTTTCAGCTTCTGGCTTCAACTTTTCGCCCCCTATTCCCGGGCTAACTTGAGAACCCCAAAGTGGCTTCCGTTTCCGCCTCGGCCTGCCCCCCGCGGCTTCAATTTCCCTAACACTTTTCTCTACCCGGTATGTTTCCCTAAGTTTTCTTCCAACAATATTCCTCCCTCATTTCTCCTGGCCTCTCCCCACAGTCCGCGTCCGAGTCTGTTTGTTCTAGCTTTCACTTTCGCTTTCGACCTTAGAGATTCCTCCCAGCTTCCCCCCGTAGTCCGTATCCGAGTCTATGCCTAGGCTTTCAATAGCTTCTTCCGGCACCCTTTTCGTCCGGCTTTTCCCTAGGCTGTTTGCTAATCTCTCTCTCCGGTAATTTCCCAGTTCTTCCCGTTTCTTCCCTCCTAAGTTTCATATCCGTCCTAGGTTTCCTATCCGAGTCAGGTTTCCTATCCGAGTCACGGCACCATTATGTCGCTCCCCCTCTTCGTGGGGGAGCAACACTGAACCCTGCGCTGTTCTTTCTTCTGCTCGGCCCTCCCCGGGTTTGCTGCTGGTTCTTCCCGGGTTGGCTACTATCCCTTCCACCTCCGTGGAAGGGCAGTTCCCCCTGGCCGCATTCCCCACTTCCGCAGGGGAGCGGCACTCCGCCGGCCGGTTCTCTGGGGGGCTGCACGGGTGTTCCTTCAGCTAGATGTTCCCCATAGATGTTCCTGGTGCATGCCGTCTCTCTCCTCCTTTATAGTCCTCCTCCGCCAATCCCAACTCGGCTGAGTACGCTGCTCTCCAATCAGGAGCAAGTCCTACAGTTAATTGGTTGAACTGGAGGCAGCTGTGCGGAAGCTGTTTACTTCTCTCCCAGCGCCATATTGTGGGAGAGCAGATGCATAGAATAAGTCCTAATTCGAGTAACAGTCTAGTCCGGATTGCTCCCCACAAGGGCTTGCTTGCTGTTTCAAAAATGATACCTAGGGAAAGGCATTGTGCCGCAGTAGGTTAAGCCACCACGTGGGATACCCAAATCCTCTATCCGAGTGCCTGGCTTGAGTCCTTCCTTCATTTCTGATCCAGCTTCCTACTAATGTGCATGCTGGGAGACAGCAGGTGGGAGCTCAACCTGGGTCCGTAACACCCATGTGGGAGACCCAGATGGAGTTCCCAGCTCCTGCCTTTGGTTGGCTCAGCCTTGGCTTTTGTAAGCATTTGGAGAATGAACCAGCAGAAGAAAGCTGGCTTGCTTTCACTCTCTGTGCATGTCTCTCTTTGAAATGAACTTTTAAAAATGATTAAAAGCTTAAAAAATAAAAGATGGTGACTTTTCTCTGTGTTCACATGGCAGAAAGACAAAAAAGGGCCACACAAACCTTTTTATAAGCCTTTTTATAAGGGCATTACTCACCTCCTACTAGTCCTACTTCTTAACACTATTACACTGGGGACAAGTCTTTACATAAATTTTTCAGAGACACAAATATTTAAACCATAGCAGATAACACACATATGTCATAGACAGTCACTACCCTTGCTCCTGAGACAGACATTACTAATCTATCATGATGCTCTTTCTTGCTTAGTAGAGACATACCCACAGAATCCTTCACAACACAGTTTTCCAAGTAGTCACTACTAGTCAGTCAATAAATATTGGTGCATGTGTTGAAGTCTAGTTGGCCAATCCCTGATCTCATTGCACAGAAGAGAAAACTGAACCTCAGAGAAGTTAAGTCATCTTCCCAAGTCCATACAATCAATTTAGTTCTGAAGAGAGTCAGGCATAAAATAATTTTGTCATAGATGCAATCAGTTAGTAGAAAGAGTTGATGTATAACATTTTGTCTTATAGCCCTTATAGCTTCCATTAGAATAGGGCTGGAGCTCAAATTTGCCCTGCCCACCTTGTATTTTCTAGAATCAAGCTCTTTCTAGGAGATCAGAATCCACTGATAAACATCAAATCTTACCAAAAGGATGCCAAGCTAGGCCACGGGCAGACCTCACACCATTTTTCTGAGATTTCCCAAAATAACTTTATGGTGCAATACCCACGGTTATACCCATCTTTCACAGTTCTCAAAGATTCCACTTCTTTTTCTTCTCTCCTGCCACTAGTCACCGAAAGCTTCCAAAAGTGACAAGTGACCTCTCCTTCCTTCCCTGGAACATTCTAGAGCAGGAAGCAGTTTATACTGAATGCAAGCCAATACAGGCAAAGCTGTGGGCGCCCCAGATCACAGCTCTGGTCTTTGTTGGGTGGTTCTAGAACCTTTGAGAGCCTAGCCCAAGATGAAAGTCCCAGGACAGTGAAGCTCTCCCCGGCTTGTCTCTTGCCTAGAAACACTAGTAAGCTTGGGTTGGAATCTCAATTCTGCCATCTGCTAGCTGGACTTGGCCTATTTGAGCTTCAGCTTACTCATCTGGAGAAGGGAAGATAAGGATCATCTCTTACGATTGTTGGGAAATTTAATGAGATGATTTACTGAAGCACAGAGTCAGCACTCAATAAATGGTAGTTTTTGTTGGAATCACTGAGACTGACTTACAATATGTCAGAGAAAGCAATACTTCCTTCCTGAAGAACACAAGAAAACAAGGGCTGTAGCCCCATGTAGCCTCATGTGTCTGGAACGTGCAGAGCAGGTTGGATGTGACTGACAGCTCAGTTGTCGGTAACAAGGGGCAAAGGTGCAGATCTGCAGGGCACTGCTGCCATCGCCTTGGAGGTCTGCCTTGCCTAATCACCTAAGGAAATCTCCCTTCAGGCTGACTTTGGTGGGGGTTGGATGGCCCCAGCATGCTCCCAAAGAGGATGGCCACACAACTAATCTCTCACTTGTCTTTTCCCAGGCACGTCCACTGTAGTGTGCAAGCCCATAGTCATTGAAACTCAGCTCTATGTTATTGTGGCCCAGCTGTTTGGTGGCTCTCATATCTATAAACGAGACGGTTTTGCAAATAAATTCATAAAAATCCAGGATATTGAAATTCTCAAAATCCGAAAGCCCAATGACATTGAAACATTCAAGATTGAAAACAACTGGTACTTTGTGGTTGCTGACAGTTCAAAAGCTGGTTTTACTACCATTTACAAATGGAACGGAAATGGATTCTACTCCCATCAATCCTTACACGCCTGGTACAGGGACACTGATGTGGAATATCTAGAAATAGCCAGAACACCTCAGACTCTCAGAACGCCTCACCTAATCCTGTCCAGTAGCTCCCAGCGTCCTGTAATTTATCAGTGGAACAAAGCAACACAATTATTCACTAACCAAACTGACATTCCCAACATGGAGGACGTGTATGCAGTAAAGCACTTCTCAGTGAAAGGCGATGTGTACATCTGCTTGACACGATTCATTGGTGACTCCAAAGTCATGAAATGGGGAGGCTCCTCATTTCTCGATATCCAGCGAATGCCATCGCGGGGCTCCATGGTGTTCCAGCCTCTTCAGATAAATAATTATCAATATGCAATCCTCGGAAGTGATTACTCCTTCACTCAAGTATATAACTGGGATGCAGAGAAGGCCAAGTTTGTGAAATTTCAGGAATTAAATGTTCAGGCACCAAGGTCATTCACGCATGTGTCCATTAATAAGCGTAATTTTCTTTTTGCTTCCAGTTTTAAGGGAAATACACAGATTTACAAACATGTCATAGTTGACTTAAGCGCATGAGACACCAAATTCTGTGGCTGCCATCAGAAACTTTCTACAGTCCATGACCTGGATGAACTCAATGCATGATGACTGTTCTTATCACACTCGCAAATGAATGAATGCCTTTAAACATTGAGACTGCTAGAACCAAGCACTACCAGTATCTCCATCCTTAACTGTCCAGTCCAGTGGTGTGGGAAGTTACTTTTTCTAAGACAAAACTTAATTGTGTAACTGTTCTTTGCAGTGAAGATGTGTAAAAAAGCGTTTAATGGTATCTGTTACTCCAAAAAGAAATATTAATATGTACTTTTCCATTTATTTATTCATGTGTTCAGAAACAACTGCCAAATAAAATGTTTACATTTTCTTTCATATCCCAAAGGTAATCATTGATAGGAGTGGTTATAGTCTTGTTGATGATATGTTGGAGAAATAGTTTCATACAGTTGCGTTCTATTTGGATGAAGGATTTTAGAATTGTTTTTATTTGAGAGACAGAGAGACAGTGCCTATCCACTGGCTATAGCCTCAGATGTCCACAATGGCCAGGGGTCAGCCTGGGCTGGGGCCAGGAGCTGGAAACTCAATCCAGATCTCCCAAATGGGCAGCTGGAGCCCAGTAACTACATTATCTGCTGCCTCCTAGGGACTACAATAGCAAGAAACTAGAGTCAGCAGCTGCAGTTGGGAATCAAACTCAGGTACTCCAATGCAAGACACAGGCATTTGAACTGCTAAGCTAAATGCCTACTTCTTGAGCAAGGATTTATAATTTGAATAATGAATGAAGATAAAACACTGCTATTGATTCCCCATAACGTATGAATAGGTTTATCTGTGGCTGTATCAGCTGGTTTTGAACCCTTCAAAGGTATTTCCAAAGATCATGGCTTTCAGGAATACTCTGAGGTGAAATGGTGACAAATTAAAAGGAGGGTGGGGAAATTTGCCTATATAAGACAACTAACTTGAAATAAAGAGTAGTAAGATCCTTCCTCTCCTGTTTGATAACCCCAGCTGTAAAGATCACTCAAACATCTTATAGGAGAGATTAAGGTCAAGATTTAGGATTAAAAAAATTTATTCAAGCACTTTCTAAATAACTGACTCTAGAATCATCTGAGAGTTGACCAAGATTGTAACCTCATAGACTGGCCTCACACAGACCTGCTATGAAGGCCTCTTCCTAATCTGATCAAGGATGCATTGCTTCTGAATGCCAAGTTCAATGTTACTAACCTGCTGCACAGTTGGTTCCCAGAAGGCTCATATTTGAGTTTCTAAATTTCTGCTCTGGGATCACATGGGTCATTAGCACCTAGCACAATGCTGTGGTATAATCATCTCTCAAAATCTGTTCTTGAAGAAGTACGTGTCCTTCTGTTATCCTATAATAAACTTCATGAGGCTCTTTGATCTAATCAACCATTATTTACTGAGTACCACATAAGAGTGAGGTCTTGTTCTGAGACAGAGAGGAGATACTGAGGCAGACCAGGGCATGGTCCTGCCCTCTGGGGCCTTAGAAGACTAACTGGGAGGTAAGAGCACAATAACCTAAGAGGCAAGCAGTGGGTGCAAAGTATCATCAGAACATTCCAGATTATAACTATGGGAGTAACCAGAATGACTTCTGGGAAGACATGGTCTTCCTTTGAACTTAGAAGAAAAATATGCTTTCTAAAGGGAGTTGTGGCAGAGAAAGTATTCCTGACTACAATTGATTCTATGTGCTGCCTTCATGGCAGGGATCTTGCTCCTGTTTGTTATTCCCCAGACTGATATGCCATAGCCCGGGCCACTCTGCACAGCACGTATCTGGCTGACTTGAGGCCTCCAGGGCACACACAGTAGAGCCATAGCATTGGGAAGCAATACCCTGGGGAGTTATACACAGGAACCCGATTCCTTTCCCTGTGTCGGGAAGACACTAACTGTGACATCTGGCTCACAGGGACAAGAACACTCCCGATCCAGCACAGAGAGAGATGTGGTCGTGGAGTTTCTCTTATTTTTTTCAGTGCCATTTTCCCATAAACAGCATTCTGTGCTATTGGAGAACACCTGCTTTGCATAGACTACGTGTAAACCAGCTTTGTCATGCACTGGCTTTGTACGCAAGACAGTTACTTAACCCTCCTGAGCCTGTGCCCTTGTCTGTAGAGGCATAACACCACCTACTTCCAAGGACAATGTGGGGATTAAATGAGATGGTACACTTGCTATGGACTGTATTTTCCAAATGCAGTCACCACAGTATCTCCTATCCCACATGCTCTGTGAGAACCTCATGCCTATCTCAACAACCTTCAACTATGTGTAGGTTTTTGACTCACTTATAATCCTTTGGATATGGTGGGAAACATGCAATTTGACTTCTGAAGCTAAGTCATAAAAGCAAGGAAGTTTCTGGGACAATTGTTTTTGGAGCCCTGAACAGTCACCATTCTGCAAGGAAACCCAGACCCCCTGGAGAAACTGCAACGGGGGAAAACTTTGGTCAACAGCCTCAGCTGACGACCCAGATGAAGCCATCATCAACTACCGGTCCTGTGACTGCCAATGGCTCTGGGGGATTCCAGCCTCCAGCGTTCAAGTCACTACCAGATGCCAGACCTTCCCAACTGAGGCCCTTGCCTTTCTGGAGCAGAGACAAGCCAACCCTAGGGTGCCTTGTCCATAGACTCTGTGAACAAAATAAAATGGTTGCCTTCAATAGCTGTTTTGGGGTGGTTTGTTGTACAACACCAGTAATCAGAGGCTTAACCCAGGCTGGCATGCCCAGTGAGCAAGAGTTATTGCTCCTGGCTCCATAGCCAGAACACAACACACACTGGGGTCATGCTTTTCCTCAGTGTCTTAATGTGATTCACCTTCGCTTTCTTTTTAAATGATGCCTCCTTATTAGCAAGAGGCTCTCAGGGTTCTCACTCAGTGTTGGGTGCTGGGTTGAGTTCAGGGATGCAGAGATTGAAAGCCTACATTTTCGTATGAGGGGAGAGATGAGGAGGGAGCAGGCAGACTGAGAAAATGAATTCAGGAAAATGCACAGCGTCTGCTTCTGCAGCAAGTGGCCAGCGCCGAGTTTGTCCCCTCCCCCTACACCTTAGCCATCCTTTCCTTCGTAACTCTGTCTCCTCTGTGGCTGCAGATCATTGGACCTGGAGTGAACTCCCAGTCCAGTGCTCAGCCCAGCTCAGCCTGAAGCTGGCCAGTTCTCACTCCTGGATCTCTGGAGTGAGGTCGGACAAGGCTGGGCCTGATTTAAGAGGATGACCCTAAGTCAGGCTCCCTGGAAGCAAAGGGCTCTGTTGAGGGAGTGTCTTCGTCCAGGCAGGGAGTGGGAGGAGCAGTCTTGAGTGGAGGCAGATGCTACACAAAGATGGGAGATGTCTGGCGTCAGCCCCTAGAGACCAACTGTACCACAGGCTGTGTCCTGCCTTGGGGCCAGAGGGTGGACTGTTTAAACCTGCATGGGGTTGAAGAGCCTGAGGCATGGCCTATCCAATGGCTCCAGGAGAGGGGTTGCCAGATGGCTGCCTGGTGCCCAGGCAGCTGCAGGAAGTGAGGCTTGGCTAATAAAGGGGAGGGTGGCGATGGCATGTGCCTCAGTACTGGTGACAGAGGAGCCGGATACACCACTTGGAGCAGCCTTGTGGCCCATGCACCAGAGGAGCACAGAAAGCTTCTCCAAAAAGGGACATGAGGGGCCGGCAACTTGGCTCACCAGGCTAATCTTCCACCTGTGGCGCTGGCATCCTGGGTTCTAGTCCTGGTTGGGGTGCCGGATTCTGTCCCGGTTGCTCCTCTTCCAGGCCAGCTCTCTGCTGTGGCCCAGGAAGGCAGTGGAGGATGGCCCAAGTGCTTGGGCCCTGCACCTGCATGGGAGACCAGGAGGAAGCCCCTGGCTCCTGGCTTCGGATCAGCGCAGCACGCTGGCTGTAGCAGCCATTTGGGAGGTGAACCAATGGAAGGAAGACCTTTCTCTCTGTTTCTCTCACTGTCTAGCTCTGCCTGTCAAAAAAAAAAAAAAAAAAAAGGCAAGGGTGGGGGGATGAGGAAGGAGATGCTCAGAGAGCAGCAGAGGTGAGAAAAGATGGGGGTGGGAGGTGGGGAGAGAAGACAGCCAGAAAGGAAAGAGGAGAGAGAAGGGGCAGATGATCGAGGAGGGAGCATGGAGACAGGAGAGGCAGGCGGGCAGGGAGAATGAGAGGAAGGCTGGGAGGAGAAGCATGGTGTTCCAGGCTGGGTCACCTGAGCAGTTAACGTACAGACTTGTGTTGGGGGGGGGGGGGGACTCTTTTTCTTTCCTTTTACTCATCTTCCTTGCTTTTAATTTTTTTTTTAATTTGAGACCACCCAGCAAATGAGAGAGAGAGAGAGATCCATCTCCCATATCCTGGTTCATTCCCTAAATGCCCACAATGGCTGGAGCTGGGCTCTCAAAGCCAGGAGCCAGGAATTCAATCCATGTCTCCCACATGGGTAGCAGAGACCCAGGTACTTGAGCCATCACCCACTACCTCCCCAAGGTGCACAAAAGCAGAAAGCTGGAGTCAGGAGTGGAGCCAGGACTTGAATCCAGGCACTCCAATATGGGATGTGGGAGTCCCAAATGGCATGTTAACTGCTAGGCCAAATGCCCATCCCAGAGAGCAATCTTAAGGTCAACAACTCAGAAGGGAGATAAGGATGCAGGACTGGGCAGAAGCAGCTCAGCTGTGACACAGTTTCAATAAAAGCCTAAGACAATCCCATAGGGAGCTCTAGAGCTGAGAGCTGGGAACCAAGCTCCAAGCTGGAGCAAGGGAAAGAGGCCTTTATCTACACCTAGGCTCCATGTTGCTCGGCCATGGGATCTGTCCCCAGAAGGAAGCCTGGTCTTGGGCGAGGCTGGTTCTTGAGCCCAGGCAATCCCCACAAAGGCAGACAGCCAACGCTCATCTCTGGCAGCAGTCCCAGCAGTGGGAGAAATAGCCTTTATTCTTGAGTGGGGAGTTGGGCAGCACACACATCCACTAGGCAGGGAGAGAGGGAGAGGAAGAGGACAATTCCTAGGGGTTTCCCTTTTCCTACCCCACCCCTCATTAGAATCCATGGTGCTCCCTGTCACTGACTTTCTTAAGTTACCACTGTCACCTTCTAATAAATCTCCCTACCACACACATCTTATTTTTGGTTAGCTTGAGTGCATCTATACTTGCCACAAAATCATCCCCAACCAAGCCAGAACATTTAGGTTCAATTCACCATGATGTAGATGTGATGGTAAAACCCAGATATTTCATTTTTCTCTATATAAGTCAGTTTCTATTGCTCTACTTTGAAGTTCACTGACTCCTTCCTATGCCCTCTCCAATTTCAAACTTCAACCAGATTAGCACTTCTCAACTTTAGAAAAAAATGTCTAGGCTATGGAAATTAAAAGATTTCCAATGTATGTTGCATCAATGTATTTCCAATTGTATCGCAAACCAGTATTTTTAGAAATTAAAATAGGAAGGAATTACTAGGAAAATGCTCATATGCTTGGTTGTCAAGGTAATGTCTCATGTTCTGTACTTAGCTTATCCCAGACCAATTCTGAACTATTCTTGGTCTGGCACTGGTCCTAGGACCAGTGCTATAGGTACACTGAACTAGGTAATTACAGTTCAACTCACTCAGCTCAGCTCTTACGTGTCATTCATTCTGTGGGATGCAAAAGCATTTTATTATGATTGCCACCAAGAGCATCAGGACCTCCCAGGACACCACATTTTAGGAAGACCTAAAATGGCCTTCTACAATCCTAATGATGGAGTTCAAGTTCTGGCCCAACTTCACCTACCCCCTGGCGTGTTCCATTTCACCTGTATTCCAGTTACCCAGACAGTTTGCCAATCCCTGTTCATAGGAGCTTTCCATGATCCTCTGCCCCAGCTGCTCTGACCACCCACAATGCCCTTTTCCCACTTCTCTACCCTTTGAAATCTTAGTCCTTTCCATCCATCCACTTAAATGTGATTTCTTTCTCTGGATTTCTCAACCCATTGCTGTTCCCATGATCAAGGCTCACATTTCATTGTGTGTGGACTTGGTTGGTTGTAGATAGACCCATCTCTCCCACCAACTTCACATCCCCAAGGGTCTGGACCGGGTCTTCAGCATTTGTGATTCTTCCACCCACCTCACCCTTAAACTCCTAAACAATTCCTGCTTTGTAGAGGGTCCCTAAAGTCGATGGAACTCAAATAGCTTAAGCCCGGCAGCTTCAGTGTTCCTGTTTACATTATCTGTGAAGCAGCCTCATCCCATGATGAGCTTCAGCCCAGAGTGAATCACAGCCATGGATTATCCTAAAAGAACAGGCCTGCACAGGCTGCTGGCTCCCCAAGGGGAACCAGGGTGGGCTGGAAGATGAGAGAGACATAGTTTATTTCCTGAGTAAATCCTTATGGAAAACACACACTGAATATCTAGCTAAAACTTGGTCCACCAAACTGAAGGATGGAATGGATTTAATTAATCCATGTAGAGCAAACAGGGCAAGTGTTTGACACCAAAGCTTTCGGAGCCCAAGCTCTTTGAAACATTATCCACAGAGAGGGGTCCATACCCCGGATCAGCCCCACTACTCCGACATGCCACATGGGGAGCATCTTTCCTAGTTGAAATTTGTAACAATAATTCCCAGCAAAACTATGTCCCAGAAGTTGGTCCTGTTGGCAGTGCCAGGTCCCAAGACAACTGTCTTGTCCTTCATCCTTTGACCCTGTCTGCTCACATATATGTAACAACTCCATATAAAGGAAATGTTCTTCCGTACTTCCGGTACAATGATAGGTAGCATTTATTGAGCTCTCACCGTGAACCGGCACCATACCAAGTGCTTTACCTGTATTTTCATTTCATCCTCTATCCTTCTACTTAGTATTATTTTACAGATGAGAAAGCAACCTTAGAAAAGCTAAGTGACTCAGTTGTAATCAAATAGCAAAGCCACATGGATTAGGATGATACCCATCCATGGCACTATGCTATGATGTGCAAAAGCCAAAATGCCTATTAAAAATTCATAATTCTGGGGCCAGTGCTGTGGCACAGTGGGTTAACACCCTGGCCTGAAGTGCTGGCATCCTATATGGGTGCTGGTTCGAGACCTGGCTGCTCCACTTTCGATCCAGCTCTCTGCTATGTCCTGGGAAAGCAGTAAGAAGATGGCCAAAGTCCTTGGGCCCCTGTACCCAGGTGAGAGACCCAGAGGAAGTTCCTGGCTCCTGGCTTCGGATCGGTGCAGCTCTGGCCATTGTGATCAACTGGGGAGTGAACCATCGGGTGGAAGACCTCTTTCTCTCTCTCTCTCTCTCTCTCTCTCTCTGCCTCTCCTCTCTCTGTGTATCTCTTTCAAATAAATAAATGAATCTTTAAAAAAATTCTTAACTCTGCAGACTGCCTGATGAACTGATGCCTCATTCAGAACCCTGAAGCATATCCAGTAAGGTAGGGCTGTTGGAAGGTCATTATACCTATGGACACAGCAAGCTCAATTTCATTGAAGGTATTTGTTGAACACCTACTACGTGCAAAACATTATGGGAGATCATACAAGAAATACAAAATGAGTAAGTAGTTGTCCCTAATTTAAAGTATTTACAAATCAATGGAATTTATTTCTAAAAACTAGCATGCAAAAAATCAACTTAAAAGAGGTAAAAGTAAGTTCTACAAGGGTCG